AAGTTTCGTAACAGAGAGTAATACATCAGGGCCATTAAAAAATTCCACATGCTCAACTCGGTTGATTTTAAGGTGGATCGTGTCAACCCGGAAAGGTACAAGATCAAGTGTGTCCACCCTGACTGTATGTTCAAGCTGACCGCATCATACAGATTAAGGGGTGACTGCTGGGTCATAGGTTCCATGACTACCCAAACTTGTGTAAGTTCCACTCAATCACAGGACCACCGAAAACTCAACTATGATCTAATCTGTCAATAAATCCTACCCATGGTCAACAACGGCCCATCTTTGAAGGTGAAAACAATCATCTCCCACATCACCACGGTTTTTAACTACACTCCGTCTTACCGTAAGGCGTGGTTAGCAAAGACTAAGGCGATTGAAAGGGTGTACGGAAACTGGGAGGAGTCATACCAAGAACTTCCCCGCTACCTGAATGCACTCAAGACGTATTCTCCAGGTAATGTTTACGTTCTGGAAACAGTTCCAGCATACGCCCAAGATGGTAGTCTACTAAATGGCAACGGAATATTCAGTCGCGTGTTTTGGGCATTTTAACCATGCATCACAGGGTTTGCATCATGCAAACCAATTATACAAATTGATGGGACTTGGTTGTATGGGAAGTACAAAGGCACGCTATTGATGGCAGTTGCACAAGATGGCAACAACAACATTTTCCCCATTGCCTTTGCCCTTGTCGAGGGGGAGACCGGTGGTGCTTGGAGCTTTTTCCTGAAAAATTTGCGGACACACGTGGCTCCTCAACCAGATCTCTGTTTGATCTCGGACAGACATGCCTCCATTGAAAGTGCCTACAATAATCCAGCAAATGGTTGGCATGACCCTCCTTCTACGCATGTCTATTGCGTTAGGCATATCGTCCAGAATTTCTCGAGGGAGATCAAGGACAAAAAATTGAGGAAAGCGGTTATGAATGCGGGATATGCATTGACACAACCCACATTCAAATATTACCGCAACGAGATCCGTTTGTCTAATCCGGAAGCCAGTAGGTGGATCGATAATATTCCAGTGGAAAAATGGACTAGGTCATACGACAATGGCCAAAGATGGGGGCATATGACAACGAATCTTATTGAATCAATGAATGGGGTAATCAACGGCATACGAAACCTCCCAATCACTGCCTTGGTAAAATCTACGTATTTTAGGATGGCTGCGTTATTTGCCAAAAGAGGTGAAATATGGAATGCGGTGTTGTAATCTGGACAACTATGGAGTGAAAGCTGCATGAAATACATTAAGGCTGAAAGTGCTAAAGCCAACACTCACATGATTATACGGTTTGACCGACACAGCCACAACTTCATTGTGAAAGAGACAATCGACCACAATGAAGGTCTGTCTAGACAAGAATATAGGGTCATTTTACCTTCTCAATGGTGCGATTGTGGCAGGTTTCAAGCATTTCGTATGCCTTGCTCTCATGTCATTGCCGCTTGTGCTCATACCCATCAAGACGCGCTGCAACTTCTGTCAAACATTTACAAATCTGAAACGTTGCTCAACGTTTACAACAACAACTTTCCTTTGGTAGCAAAACCAGATTATTGGCCTACATACGACGGTGAAATAGTGTGGCACAATGACCAAATGTGAAGGAACAAGAAGGGTCGTCCCAAAAGTAAGCGCACCACAACAGAAATGGACGATCTTGACAGGTTGGAAAGAAAGTGTGGTTTATGCCGTCAGGTCGGACACAATCGCAAAAACTGTCTGAATCGGGCGTCTGGCTCGACCACATAAATATTGTAATACATAAAATCTTTTCTTAATTGTGTTGTAAACATTTGGGTTTTCCGTTAACAGATTTTGCTACAATTAATAAAATGCGTACAAGAATAATTAACGATATTCCATCTAGGAAATTACAACTGTTAACATAATTTCATCTGACCCATGCATCATCAACATTACATCGCTGTCTGTTTTGACTTCCTCCAACCACACATTAGGTCTTCCTGTCGCATGTGAGGTTGTTGTTCGTTTTCGCTGGATCCTTCGAATTCCCCCCCCCCCCCCCCCCCCTCCGCAATGTCTCCATCTAGCCATCGCATCAACTCCCGCTTCAGACGCTCCATGGAGTGAATGTGCCAGAATTTCATTTTTATCCCAGGTTTCGTGGCGGAGAAGATAACATAACCATCTCTGCTAAAAATCATAGGCGACGTCATGAGGCAAATAACAGAGTACAAAATAAAAATACAGTGCGAGAAAGTGTGAGAAATTTCGGAGAAACGGACGAATTATTTATAAAATGACATTTTGCCCTAGTTTTGCCCTAGGAGCCAAGTGAGATGGCGCCTCCTCTCACTTTTAAGGAGCATGCGCCATCTCACTTGGCTAAAAGCCAATGGAGGCGCCAAGTGAGATGGCGCCTAGGGCAAAATGGTAGGTGCATGCGCCATTTCAGATGGCTCCTCCTTTGGGGAGTCATCTGAAACATGATTATTTGCGTAATTTTTTCCGAAACCCGATTATTTGTGAAATATTATTTTAATACATGATTATTAATAAAAAAAATTCAAGGAAAAAATATCATCGAAATAAATGATGATTATAAAGGTGGAGAATATTGATTAATATTCTAAAACTTTTCTTTTTTCCGTTTCATAATCCAAGTCATAACGTAAAAAAAAATTAAAGAATTTGATAGTTACTCTTTTGTATGAAGATTAGTCAATTTTAACTGATTATAAATAAATGAGCGGTTAAGACATATTTAATCTAAAATAATTCTTTGTTTCAATACAATAAAATAAAACTCTTAATTTTAGTGTCTTGGTTTTTTGGTATTCCTATGTTATTATTTGCATCAATTTAACATCTTATTAATTTAACATATAAAATATTAATTAAGTAATTTATGTAGTATATGTGGATTGCAATACATAAAATTTATTAAGTATTTGTGCAGATAATTATTAAAAAATAATTAAATATAAAATAATTAAAAAGAATCAGTTTTTAACATTGAAGGCGGGTTTTTGTATAGAGTTTTTTTTTATTATTTTCAATTATAAATTATTATGTTAAAATATATTACTTTAAATTATATATGTAGTATTATGACGTTAAATATTTTTTTCTAAAAGAAATAAGATATAAGGCAAAGGAAATAAAAATTCGAAAGCAAATGAATGATATTCTTAATGAAAGTTATATTTTAAATTTATGTGTAGTATTAAATAGATATATTCATAAATATATTCATGACTATACTAACTTATATAGTTTGGTCTTTATTTAAAATGTATTCATGACTATATATATTAATAAGGCACTCAATTATAAAATAAGTAAAGTACTCCTATGTCATTATTTTCTTAAATTACATTTTCCTTATAATTTAGGTTAGAGCCATCAAAAAGGAATATTCGATTTTAAACGGGTCAGTCTAATAGATTTTAAATTTTTTAGAATTGGGTCAAAAATACTTATTTAAATATTAACTTAAAATTTATTATCTGAGTCCGATTCTTGATGAATTACGAGCTATCCAATTTTAAACAGATTATTTTATGTGATTATTTAATTAAAAATAAGATAGAAATTTTATAATTTCTATTATAAATATAATATGCATTCAAATACTATAATATTAAAATAAATATTTTAATACATTTTTAAATACGATACAAGTTTAATACAACTTTAAAATTATTCTAAATAATACATGCATATCTAACATAACACAAATTAATAACATAAAAAAATTATGAAGTGAATAGTGAAATAATTAAATATTAATTTAATTATATTGATTTATAATATTTAATATGTAAAGTTTGAAAAGATTAAAAGAGATTAAAGTTAATGAAGTGAAATAATTCAATGTAATATTTTTTTTAGTGAAATAACATTAAAAAATTAGAATAATTTATAGAAATAATATGGGTCTAAGGACTATTTGCGATCCATACATGCTATCTTTAATAAGTTGAACTAAAAAAACCCACATATAATTCGGGCACCACTTGTAAGGCCCAAGCTCTATAGATTATCAGGTTTGTCGGAGTGGCCTATATGAGCTAGCCACTCTACTTTAGGTGGCATGTATAATTGTTTTGTTTGGCGGTAGTTTATAATTTATAAGCTTATTTGAAAATAAAAGGTATATGATTATTTTTTTTATTACGAGTTTATAATTTATTTTTCAAACGATATTTCAAATAACATTTTAATTTATAAGTCATATCTTATCATTTTTTCTTTCAATTTCACCTTATTTATTTTAATTAAAAACTCACTTTTATTCTTATAATTTATTTTAATTTAAAATACAAAATTATGTATTAAATATATTTCATGTCATTTTATATTTATCAGCTAATTGATCTGCTAATTTTATCGAACACTTCAATTAATTTATCAGCTATCATTCATTAGTCATCAGCTATAAATTATTCTTCATGAGCCATCAACCATTACTTATAAACTATCATTTAGTTTATCAATCAACTGCTATTTTTACCAAATAAAGTCTATGTGCTCTTTGTCATGGGACAAAAAGAAAATCTACAAATTTAAGAATTTTTCTTCGAATTTTCTTACGGATTTTAATTTTATAGACTCAAATCAAAAGAATTTTAACCATTAAAAATTATTTTCAAGAAAAAAAATATAAAAACAAAAATAAAAAAATATACCAACTTACAGAGATAAAAAACTATTTAAATCTATAAAATATCAAAATTGTACTAACTTAACTCAACTTAAAGAAGATAATTAAATAAAATACATATTTTTGATATAAAGAGAATGTAAATGATAGAAAATCTATCCACATCAAATATATATATATATATATATATATATATATATATATATATATATATATATATATATATATATATATATATATATATATATATATATATATATATATATATATATATATATATATATATATATATATATATATATATATATATATATAACATGCTATGGTAGTCTAGGAAACAGACATAACATTATGTGCCATGGCCTCCACGGTCTCCACCCTTATAATGATTATCTCTTGATTTTGATGCTGGTACTCGTCCTTGGTTTATTCTTGGTGAAGGAGGTGGACTTGGAAAATTTCCTAATTTTCTCATTTTAATATCTACAAAATCAATTAAATATTATTATCAACAAACAAAAATATTTTAAGATTTAATAAATATAACTACTTGTTAAACATTAATATGTATACGCATGTTTTTTTGTACATAACTAATTTGTTTATTTCATGGACAAAGACAAACCTGCACTAACTGGAGACAACGGCATAAGCAAAGTAATTGCTATTAACAGAATAAGAAAACGCAAAGAAATTGAATTTGCAAGGTTGAAGATATAATCCATCTCACAATATTGATTGTATTCTATGATATCTACTAGTCTAACTAAGACAATTTATAGGGTTGGGTGTTTATTATTTTCGTTGAAACTTTTAAAGAAATTTCATACTGAAAAGTACATATTGATTATTATTATATATCTGTATAATTCTCCATTTGACGAAAGGAACTCTAAAGTTGACGAAAAATAATTATTAATTTTTATTATATCATATTCTTTAAACAATTTAATAAGTCAATTATTAAAAATTTAAATTTAAATCCATCAGATGAAATTACACTAAAAGTATCTTTAAATCTAATAGATTAGGTTAAATTACAATTTTAATCTCCCTATTTTATTTGATTCAAGAAATTAATCCACTTATTTTAAATTTAAACAGTTTTGATCTTTCTATTTTAAATTCAAACAATTTTAATACCCCTCTCATGTATTTTCATTAAAAATCGATGATGTTTTTGTTTTTTAAATTATATTTTTATCTAAAAAGTTCAATTACGATAATTTATCATGTTTTACAAATAATTTTTCATTTAAAAAGAAATTAAAAAATCTTTAATTTTAGATGAAAAAGTACGAAAGAAGGACAAAAACTATTTAATTTTAAAATAAAAGAGTTAAATTTGTTTAAATTTAAAATAGAAGAACAATTTTATGAATGAAACAAAATAGGAGGATAAAAATTGTAATTCAACCGATAGATTATTTATCATTTTTGAAATTTAATTTAAAATATATAGAATGAGACAATTTCATCTTAAGAGCACCGAGGAAACCACACCCCGAACATAATATCTATCTTGAATTTTTTATATATTTTTATTTGGGTGGATTCTAACAGTTTGGAGGATATTCATACTAAGGGAACTGTTCACTTGGTCTAATAGTAGATTAGAGAATGACTTAGTTGAAAGATGATTGGATTGTGGCTTTTGTAATTGAAATTGGTTGATTGATTGTGATTCTATGAATATTAATGCAATCCCTATACTGAAGTTTGATCATTGTCATATCTTATTATTTTGTTTTAATTTCTCTGCTGTTAAAAGGATTTTTCATTTCAAATTTCATAAAATGTGGTCTATGCATGAAGAGTTCCACAAATTTATCCAAAACTGTTAGAATTTTTCATTTCAAATTTCATAAAATGTGGTCACTACAACATTTAGCCTCTCCAACAACAATTGAAAAGCGTTGCCAGAACTCTGAAAATCGTTGCCTAAACAAATCGGGGACGTTTTCTAGGCGTCTCCTGTGCGAGCGTTGCCTATTGTTTGAGGCGACGTTTTTTTAATGTTTTTTGGGCACGCTTTTGAAAAACATCGCCTATAGAAAAGGAATAAGGGACGATTATTTGCGGCCTCTGAGACAACGTTTTTTAAGCGTTGCCAAATTCGGCTACAATTAACAATCGTTGCCTTAAACCTGAATCAGGAATGTCGTTTTTGAAGTGTAGCCATAGCTTATAAGTTGTTGTTTTATAGTGTCCACATAAAATATACAATTTTGCAATTATTATCAAAATAATATAGTCAATAATAATTGGCTTCAAAAATAATATTGATTATATAACTTAAACCATACATCCATAAAAGTTTTAATATAATAAAATCAAGTTCAAACTTTAATTCAAGATATAATATATAGAGTACACAAAATGCCTAACGTAACATTACTTTTAATACTTTGAAGTATGACCATAGTAAAATAACTAAAAACATAGTTCAACAAAAGAACAAAAATCATATAATACTTTCAACTACAAGCCAAAAAAAGACGTCATCCAACTCACTCAAGTTTGTCTTCTAAGAGTAAATCATCCAGATCATCCTCTTGAAATTCGTTAGATATGTCATCCTCCATAAATTCTTCATCTACGTCGTCCTCTTGAAATTCACCATCTATATCGTCCTCTTGAAATTCATCATCTAGATCTATGTCGTCCTCTTGAAATTCGTCATCTACGTCGTCCTCTTGAATTTTATCATTTAGGTCGTCCTCTTGAATTTTATCATTTATGTCGTCCTCTTGAATTTTATCATTTATATCGTCCTTTTCAACATCTTCATTGATACATTGCTGCATAAGAAAATAAAATAAAATACATCAACCATAAATATTTTTGGTCCAAAGGACAATTAAGACATCAACAAGAATTAAACCTCGCACAAATAAAAACTAAACCAATGAGCAAAACACATTGTTTATATTCTTCACATCTCATGTCATGGGTGGGCTTTATATTACTTTACTTATCTTCTCATACCAGGAATATTCATAAAAAATACTCAATGTTTTACTTTAAGTCTATATGTCTAAAGTTGAAAATTTAGATTTTTCTCTTTTGCATATAACAAATCTTAAACAGTTTCAGCCACTTCTAGGTGTTGTCACTACTTAAACAATTTCAACCACTTACTTTATTCTAGGTGTTGTCACTACTTGCAAATTTTTGCATACATTAACAACCATTTTGATACTATAACATAATTAGAAAAATATAAATCAATAATATTGGTATATATGGTTACCTTTCCATGACATGGAGCATGAGTTGATGTAGATGAATGCATTTGCGGTCTTATATCCTTTGGGGAACTATTAGCATCTCCATGAGATAATCTTAACAAATCTTCAATTGACTCTATATTAATTTGAGGATTGCATTGTTGTATTACGGTCTTAAAAGCATTTTGCAATCTATCAATCTTATCTTGAAACTCGTCCCTTAATGTAGAGACCTCTTCACTGTGGGCTTGTTTCAAAGCATTAATCTCCGCCTTTCTCTTTAAGGAAGTTTTAGTTATGTTTCTCCCATAACAGCGTACCCTTCCTGGACACTCCTTTCCAAAAACAACTTTAAAAGCTTATGTATCACTTTCCTCCTTTTCAACCATTTCTTGAAGTTGGGACTAGCATAAATTACAACAAAAAAAATATTAACTACTATTATAGACAATATTGGCCGATTATATTAAGCAAACATATTATATAAACAATGTTACATACAATTACTTTTCCAGTTTCTACATCCAGTTCCTTTCCTTTATTTCCTTTTCGAGTTTCAACAAACATTTCTGATTGAATGGGCTCTCTTTTTTCCTTTTCACGCTGCACAAATCAAAATAATTCCATAACAAATCATGTGAATTAAAATTCCTATTCACGAGTCAAAGAAAAGTTTTTCACGAATACTTTAATTGAACAAAGAAACATTCATACAAGGAATACTTTATTGAGAACAAAAGAAAGTTACCACTTTTTCACGAGTCAATGCAAAGTTTTTGGGACCCATTCGATGCATCCACTTTAGTTGAGCTCTATTTCTAGTGTTATTTTCACTGATTGCCTACATTTAAATTTGAAGGAATTATTATAATAAATATTACTTAATTATGGCATACATAGAAAGGTGTAAATTCACACACATACATAAAAAAATTTATTAATCTTACTTGTATAGTTTCCTTACTCCAATAAGCACAAAGACTCTTAAACTGGGCTATTGGCACGTTTGGCGGACGATTTTTGAGTCTCTCGGTCATGTTGGAATACTTCAAAAAATTATTCTTCTTAATTTTGTGCTTATATCTTCTCCATGCCTCTCTAACAGTGGTCTCAATCCAATCTCGTGCTTCAACCGACAAGATAAACTTCCGCTACATAAATTATAAGATAAGACAAGATCAAGAAATAAAACACTTTTTTTAAATAATTATACTTTCAAATTCATAGATAAAAACATACATTAGTATATCTCCAGAAACGGTTTTTATTATCATCTGGCATTCCTGACCAATTGGTGTAACGTAGAGGACAAAATGTTGAGTTCCTAGCCAATGTTCCCAAGAAGAGGCTCAAGTCAGATACTACTTTTTCACTAGGACCAATTGGCTGAAAATCCTCATTAAAGGTCACTTCTACTCGCTCTTCCAAAGTTCTTGCATGAATCTTTTTGCACAAAGTTTTCCCACGAGTTTTTCTTTGGGATGTTTCTATAAAGTAATCAACACAACAACATGATATCACATGTTTGCTACCAATATGTAAATAATACATGAAATCATTATTATGAAATATGAAACTAATTACCTTTTTCTTCTTCTCTATTTGTGATTGCATCTTCTTCGTTGACTTTTGCCCGATTTTGAACACTTTCTTGTCGAGTTCCTTTTTTTTGGCTGATTTTGATTAGAGCTACGGTTAACGCTGATGCCCGGTTTTTCTCCATTGGTTGACTTGGTTGCATCCATTTCCTTTGACTTGTGAAGATCTACATAATCATCAATCAACATTGATGGACATTTTGGCACCCTGTTTAGCTTTTTAGAGCATTAAGCTTTTGACATCATTGTGTCCAAAGATAGAGTAGATTTCTCTGGTTTCTTATTTTTGGAAGAGATAAGTATTCTCCTTGCAACTGGTTTTTCCACCTTTTGAATTTTATCTCTATTGTTCTCTAGTATATTCTCATGAATTCTTTTTTTCAGCATTCCTGGTTTCAATGTAATTTTCTCGTCATAATAATGTCATGAAAAGAAATATATAAATTTAAAGTATATGCAGGGATATTAACTACCTTGTGAAACTTCTTTGTTTCCATGTGCAAAAACTTCCTTAGCTTGTGGTTGCAAAAGCTCATGCTCTCTACAAAATAAATAACTAATATTTTAATACAAAAGAAAAAGAAAACTTATAGTGAGAATGGAATTTTGTATCAAGTAGATGAGTGTACCTAATATACTCTTGCACTTCATCGCAATTGAATAAAATGTAGCTGTGAGCTTGGTTTAGAGACTTATGATCAAGGGAAATTAGTTTCTTTCCCCCGATTGGATGACCTATGTTTGGAGTATGATCTCTATTTCGTGTCATTCTATTCATCCTTGTGTCTACAACACTAGGCAAATATCTTGAACAAAATGTTAGAGATTCTTTAACTAAGTATGCTTCAGCGATAGAACCCTCTGGATGACTCCTATTACGAACAAAAGATTTTAAATCACCCAAATATCTTTCCATATAATACATCCATCGAAATTGAACCGGTCCACCCAATCTGACTTCATTTGCCAGGTGAATTGGTAAGTGAACCATTATGTCAAAGAAACTCGGAGGGAAGATACGCTCGAATTGGCAAAGTGTTTCAGCAATTTCTACTTCCAAGTAATCCAATGTTTTCACATCTATAACCTTCTGGCATAAACACTGAAAAAATGAACAATGTCGAAGCAAAGGGATAACAATTTGATTAGGGCCTATCCCTCTTATTGCTACTTGCAACAAGTAATGCAATATAATATGAGCATCATAACTCTTGTATCCAGAAACGTTTCCTTCATTAACTTGAACACATCGAGAAATATTGGATGCAAGGCCATCAAGAAGTTTTACTGTCTTTAAAACATTACAAAAAATAGTTTTCTCTTGCTTTGTTAGGGAGAAACATGCCTTAGGGATTTGAGTTTTCTTACCATCACTTGTTTCCTTCAAATGGAGTTTTTTTTCTAATCCCCATGTGTTGTAGGTCCAAACGAGCTTTTGCATGATCCTTTTTCTTCCCTTCAATATCTAAGAGAGTCCCTATTATATTATCACAAATGTTCTTTTCTGTATGCATAACATCTACATTATGGCGCAAAGAATTATCCTTCCAATATGGTAATTGCCAAAAGATAGACTTTTTCTTCCATGGACCAGGCCTTTTTTTATGATATTTTTGCCCCACTACGTCAGGAATCTTTTCTAAGTCTTTTAAAATCATTGTTGAATCTAACAAGGAGGGTGCAGACCTATATTCTGGCTTTCCATCAAAAGAACTTGAATTTGATCTCCAACTATGATTTGAATCCAAAAAGACTCGATGACCCATATAACACATATTTCGACTATGTTTTAAGTATCTTGAAGAAGTTTTATAATTACAAGCAGGACAAGCAAACTTCCCTTTAGTACTTCAACCGGATAACATAGCATATGCAGGAAAGTCATTCACAGTCCACATAAGAGCTGCACGCATTTGAAATGATTTATTTTTTGAAATATCATATGTTTCTACACTGACTTCCCACAATATCTTAAGCTCCTCAATTAGTGGCTGCAAATACACATTAATTTCATTTCCGGGTGACTTTGGTCCAGGAATAAGTAACGACATCAAACAATTTTCAGCCTTCATGCACAAATTTGGCGGATAGTTATATATTGTTAATACAACAGGCCATGTGCTATGTGAAAGACTCATGGTCCTAAATGGATTAAACCCATCACTTGCCAACCCAAGTCTGATGTTACGAGTTTCACGAGCAAAATCTGAATGCTTGGCATCAAAGTCTTTCCATGCTTGGGCATCAGCTGGATGCCTTAACTTCCCATCCCTTGAACGATGGTCTGCGTGCCACCTCAATGTATCGACTGTATTTGAACACATAAAAAGTCTTTTCAATCTTGGAATCAATGGAAAATGTCTTAGAACTTTGGCGGGAACCTTATGAGCTTTTATAGATTCTTCAAGATCATTAGCAACTTCAGGATATTCAATCCACCTTGACGTGCCACAAATATGACATGAATCATCTTTCCCATGATCTTTCCAAAACAACATGCAGTTGTTTGGACATGCGTCAATCTTTTTATAGCCTAAGCCCAAACCTTTTATCATAGATTTTGTTTTATTGAAAGAGACAGGGATGTTCAAATCTGGCATAGCCTCTTTCAACAACTCTACGAGAGCAGTGAATGATGAATTACTCCATCCATGGATACATTTCAACAAATAAATTTGAATAGTGAATGATAACGAGGAAAACTTTTCACAACCAGGATACAACTCTTGATTTGCATCATCAACTAGTTTATAAAATTTCTTTGCATCTTCATTTATCCCTTCATGTACTCCACCTCCTTCAGCCACATCTTTAAATGTCTCAAATAGTAAGCCATCGATATCATCATGAGATGATGTTTCATCATCACTATCACCATCAAGATCTATAAGGCTCTCATCTTCACCGTGATAAATCCATTCAGTGTATCCCTTTACAAATCCTTTACTACATAAATGGTCATACACTACATCTCTTACTTCCCAACTATCATTGCAACATATAGAACAAGGACACAAAATCTCTTCTTCTTCAACCATTCCTTTGGTGAATGCAATATCCAAAAAGTAATTTACACCGTCCTTATAACTTTGACTGTGTGGAGGTAACTCCACCCAATCCTTCTTTATCATGTTTGGTTTTCTAAAATGAAATAAATTATACGTTAATCTTTATCATATAAAGGATGGAAAAACACCATGGTTCATATATCAACGTAGCTTTTACAAATGCATAGTTATTATAAAAATTTCATTTATAATCTAAATATACACTAAACATGCATTCCAATACCAAACATATAATAAATTGGTGAACTTTTAATCTAAACATGCATTATAAACATAAAATAAATGAGCTAAACTATTTTACATATGTTACTTCATGGAAGAGATAGTTTAAGGTTGTCTTTGTCTATATCCATTGGATGATGTGTTTTACATATGTTTCTTTATATTCATGTGTTTTGCCCTTACCAATAAGTCTAACTAGCTGTGACTTTGAATTAACAATATATACAAGTATTTGATCTTATCAAGTGAAATTAGAGATATTACTTGCTTTCAAACTACAACTTGATAAGGTATGATTCCATATGATAAAATGATGAGAAGTTTTAGCATAAACATGAGTAGGATAAGGTATGATTCCTTATGATAAAATGATGAGAAGTTTTAGCATAAACATGAGTAGGAAAACACAGGGCTATTGCATGAGGGGTGTGTGTTAAGATTTAAAAACAAGAACAATTAATTTATATTCTAATTATGAACAAACATTTCATAGTCTAATATAATATGTATTTGTTGTTTCTTTTCAAACTAATCTAAAGTGCAGAAAGCATTGGAATGACTGGGTTCTGTTACCTGAATTCTTTCAACTTGATTCCAGCAGTAATAGAAACTAAAATATTGTCCTTAGTTAAAAGCGACTTCGATTTCAACACAACTTCCTTCACTGCAACAACAACAACAAAGCTAGTAAATGAAACTGAGACGTTTCTTTCCCAAACAATGTTGAAACCAATGACATATCTATTGAGGTTTAACCGAAACAACGACGGTGAATGATCTAAAGACAAATAATTAGAAAATGAGAAAATTAAACACAAATTTAATAAATAGTAAAAGAGATGAAATGGAATACGTCACCTTTAGAAGAAAGGACGGTGATGTCGATGGATTCAAAAGTGGCATAACGAACTTGGTTAGACTGAGCAGATGCGAGTTACAATGCGGGAATGGGGAAAGACGCAGGAGAACCTGCACATCACACAACATTGATATAATCACATGGTTAGCATATGTATTAGTTTTAATAACTGACATAATAACATAGCAATCAAGTAAGCATATAGAATTACACAGAGACAATAATAATTAAGAAGCACTAACTTTCAAATGTTAGCTAAACACATATCTTAGGAGAGATGTATCCAACACAGTTTGTGTAGGCAAGTCTTAGGTATTGAGAAATCAAAAATAGAGATAAAATTATGACATTTCTTAAAACAGTGAAAGCTAGGTCTATGCCTAAAAACAAAAACAAAAAACATCTCCATGCAACCAGCTCTCACAAACATTGCTATTAAGACTTAAATTTTTTAAGGCCAATATTAACTTTATGGTATCATAGTTCAGTAATATCATGCTGCAAGAGGAAATACAATAAGAGATAAGTGGTTCATACTTCTTGGGAGATCACTATTAATGTTGTCGCTTAAAGTATTTTGCAATTTCATTCAGTACGTGTGTTGCGACACTGTTGTCGTGGTGTAAATTAGTAACATTATTGTATGACCATTTACGCAGTAGCAGACACCTTTTTTAAAAACTTAGAAAACTGCAATCCATTTTAACCATCTATAGTTTTATATGACATCTAAATATCAAATGAAAAACTAACAGTAATAACTAATAATTACAAAATTATATAATGTTTAAAACTTAGAAAAGAGGGGAATTAAGTGAACAAAAAAATCGATTATGTGGACTATACAAAGTAATAAATATTTAAGAAAATAGGCTAACAAAACAGAATCGAACACACAACTTTCAACGAAACAAATATAGAGCAACAATGATCTTATAATTCTTATTTTAACGAACCCAACAAACTACACAATTCA